CAACTAAGTCGAGTGGTTTGCATCCATCCGATGTGAAAGCACCATCTGTCATCGCTGATCCATCCGTTCCAATGAGGCTGACTTCAAAACAGCCTCGACCACCTTCGTTGCCAGAGCCCTCAGTGCCGCTGAATGAACGCTTTGAACCTCATGTTCCAGCACCAGTTTCGTTGCCGATCGAGGTTAAAGGGGGTCTAGATGTTGAAGGGGGTCTTAATCTCAGGGATAGCGATGATCTCGAGTATACATCGACCAATCCACCGAGTCCCGTTGACCGTGATGAAGGTCTTCACGATGCATCTCCAAAGGGCGGTGATCTCATAGTTTCAAGTGATGTTCCCACTGTTGATGTCGAAATGGCCAATCCACCAGGTGATATGCCCATGCCTGCCATCAGTGCAGCCGATTTCGCCGATCTTTCCGTTCCGGCCTCATCAACAGTCGATCCAGATGCAATGCAGTTGGGATCCCTTGTGACCGCTCTGAATCCATTCGAGCTTGATCACTTGGAAACCCGTCATATAGGATTGATGCAAAGTGTCTATCAAATCAAAGGTCAAGAGACACACAGTGAAGAAGTCACTCTTTGCGACCAAAAGGTCAAGCTGATCTACCCCGGATATGTCCTTAGTGATGCCGATGGTCGATACCTAAGCTGTGAGTTGTCTTGGGAAGGAATGAAAACTGAGACGTCTTCCATGACTTCACAAAAGGTAGGTCGCCTCCTTGATGAGAAATTGGCTAAGGAGCTTTGTCGCCTTTGGAACATCTCCCCAATTACCACCAGGTGGGTGTGTGTTGAGAAGGATCCGACCAATGTGCGCATGCGGTTGGTCGCAAGGGAAATTGCAAAGGGACAGCTTTCTGCCAGGGACCTCATGGTATCGAGTCCCACATCATCCATCGAATCTCTGCGATTGATGCTCTCGGAGGCCTCAGCAAATGATTTGGTCATCCTTGGTCTTGATGTGTCTGCCGCGTTTATGGCATCGCCATTAGGACAGAAGCTAGGTAAACCGATCAAAGTCATTTTGCGAATGCCATCGAATATCACTTTTCCCGATGGGAGCCCTGTTTTCATGGAGGCTTACAAAGCCATCAATGGACTGCGATCCAGCGGTCTCGCCTGGGTCGAGCACTTGGCCAATCTTCTTCAGTCTTTGAATATTTCCCCTTCACCGCTTGAGTCAACGATTTTTGCGGGTGAGGTCACCATTCGAAAAGGGCAGAAGCCTGAGTGGATTCAAGTTGTGGCGTACGTAGACGACCTTCTTGTTTTCGCCAAGTCTGAAGAAGCAGCCATGTTTGTGTTTGATTATTTGTCCAAGTCCTTAAAGGTCAAGAAGACAGGTCTCATCAAGACCAGTAAAGCCGGTGGTGGATCCCTCAGATTTCTCGGGAGGACAATTGAGCGTAAACCGAAACAAAGTAGGATTACTGTTCGGTTGGACTCCACCTATCTAGATTCGACTTTCGAGGCTTTCCAGATTGCTCGTGGTACCGACACACCACCTGACCTTCGTCCCATTCTTGATGAAGAGAAGCCTGAAAAGAATGAATGCCTTACGGCTGAGGCCGTGACCCGCTATCGAGCTGCCCTTGGCAAACTGGGTTGGATGACCCAGACTTTCTTGCACTTGTCCATTTACTATTCTTTGTTGGCAACTGGTATGTCCGAGCCGTTGATGAAGCACGAACACGCGCTTCGATCTTTGTTGAGATGGTTGTATAATCATCGTAACTTTGTCCAACATTTTCCTGCACCAGAGTTTTCATTTGGACAAGATCACCCATCAGGTAGCAAGATTGTGATCTACAGTGATGCTTCTTGGGCACCACTTCGCAGCCTCAAGAGGCGTTCCATTTCTGGCATGGCAGCTTTCCATAAAGGAAGTCTAGTAAAGGCATTCAGTCGAATCCAAAGCATTGTAGCAACCTCATCCTGTGAAGCTGAACTCTCTGCTATTGCAGAATGCGTTCAAGAATCCGTAGGCTTGAACCGACTGGCCGAACATCTCAGTACGCAAGCTCAGGTTGAAAGTCTTATGGATTCAGTTTGTTCTGCCGTAGGCTTTAATCAGCTCTTCATCCACCTTTTCGGTCTTTCTAAAGACGAGCCAATTGCACCGGTTGAGATTCGAACAGACTCTCAGGCCGCTATCCGAGTGTTGCAAGCTTCCGGACTTCAAAGAAGATCCAGGCATGTAGAGCTTCGCATTTGTTTTTGTCAAGACTTGGTCAAGAAAGGTCTTGTTAAGATGATTTGGGTGGATGGAAAATTTCAGGTGGCAGACATTTTGACTAAGACCTTGGGCATTAAGCTGTTTAATCAGTTCCGTGTGTCCATGGGGTTTTTGGAGGAGGACGAAACCGACCCAGCAGTCCTTGAGATAGCGGTGTCGAGCTCATCCTCACGCAAGAAACCTGCACCTATGCTTCATGCGAAGCAATCCGTGATGTCGCATAAGGCTGATCCTTCCATAGGAAAATCCCGAAGCTGCCCCAGCATGTTGGTTGAGGCATCAAGTGTTGCAGACATCAAGCAACAGTTCGAAGTTGTCATCATTGAGATTTGTTGTTCTTCAGAAAGTGCATTAGCGGCAACAGCCCTCCAGGTGTTTCCTTTGAATTCCCTCATCGTGCGCTGCACGAAAACATCACCTCTGGAGGAGAACCATCAGTCAATACTTGAGCTTTTGAAGCGACATCATGAGAGACAAAAGAAGTTCTCGTTTGTTCAATTCTCACTCCCGTGTACGGGAGGAAGTTCCCTCATGCACCTGTGCACCAATGAGGAGCTCAAGAGTGGATACAAGAGTCAGTTTTTCCATCTCCTTAACCTATGTTTTGGTATTCGTGCCGAATGCACTGCATGGTGTTTTGAGCTCCCGAAACGCAATAGCTATTGGAAGTCCTCGCAAGTGCGTAAGTTCATACAATTTGGTCAGGAGCACGTGTTTGCCAACATGCCCAAACTTTGTGTTTGTGGTGGCCCTCAGGTGGGCAAGACACTCCTTTTTGCCACGAATCATCGTGCCATTGCACAGTGTTTACAGAAATTCATCAGTTGTGAGCATGCCAGCCATTTGTCCTTTAATACTTCACGTTGGACATCCACTGGTAGGTATCCTACCCTTCTCGTGTTCGAGCTGCTCACCGTCATCAAGACGATTGCACTTGGTGAAGTCACCAGGCGAGATGGAGGGTATATCATGTTTGACCCTCAAGTTGACGGAGAAACGTTTTTGTATACTTCCAAGCGTTTGTTTGAGAGACCAATTGAGTGATCACATGAATTTTGCACACACCGTTACCGAAGCAGTGCTCAAAGAACGGTGTCGCCATTTTCCTCTTCGTCTATGCTTGAACTTTGGTTCATCGCCATGTTTGTGATGCAGTGTGTGATCGTGGTATCCATCTGCTGCATGATGATGCCAGCTAAGCGACAATCACGATCACGCTCTAATTCGGGATCCAGTGCCGGATCATCTTGGGATGATGAGGTGGAGGAGGAGACGTCACACGTCAAGCTTTCAGCCCGCAAGCGGCAGTCTTTGAGGCGTCGATTGAAGTCTGTCGGAAAGCCCGCCTCGGTCAAAGACATTGATCCGAATGAGCCTCGACCTCCGAGCACTCCACCTCCGCAATCGACAGCGACCGGCAGTGCATCCTCGAGAGGCGACAATACCGCAGTTCCCCGACCTCCTTCCAATGAGTTTCCTCCGAGCTTGGTTCACAACGTGACGACGTATGTGGGCACCAGGTCTGGCAGAGCTTTCCATTTGGAGCATTGTACAGTTGTACGTCACCGTACACATGATGTCGATCGTTGGGATCTTTGCTCCAAGTGCTTTCCGGTGACGCCCATTCGATTTCCGAAAGGAAAGGGCGTGATGTGCCTTGGAAATTTGATGCATTCCGATGGACACTGCAATAATCTCCGGAACATCGACATGTTTGGAAAAGTGATCTACAAAGTGCCGTGCCAAAGCTGTATCAGCGCAATCGAGCACTGATTTGAGCCACAGGCTATTGGACTTTTTGAGCCAAAGGCTATTTGCCCTTTGAGCGGAAAAGCCGAGTCAGCCAGTGCCATTCCAATCATTCCCACTTTCCTGAATCACTTCAAGATTTTTGGAGGTAGTTCCAACTTTATCCAAGTTCCAATGATAGCAACGATGAGTTTCGTAAGCTTTGAATCCTTGCACGCTTTGTTTCGTTTCGCGTCTAATCGTGTCATAATAATAGACTTGAACTGCAGAGCATTCTTGCTATAGTTGACTTGATCATTCCGTTCCATGCACTTTTTATCGGCAGGTTGAAGACCGCCTTGCTCCATGGCCATCAACTCAGATTCTTCCAAGCATTGAGTGCTGGGATTATCTCGAAAGGGGGTGCGAAAAGTTCAAACCCTAGGTGATGAGTTTCCATGTCGAGATAACCCACCAGGTGCGTTCAGAGAACCATCCATGAATTCAGTCACAACTTCCCTTCCGGTCAGGTACATGCATTTCGTTCCAGCCGATATGCCATTCGTTGCCGGATGCCGCCGCATCCTTTCGAGCTTTCGATGCAATCATGGCTCAAGCCATGCACGGACTAGATCATGAAGTTGAGCGACAAAAGTCCGATCGAGTGCAGTTGGGATTGGGTGGAGGGTCATGTTTTGTTCTGGTGTTCATTTGAGGTACATGGATCCCTGGTCATGCTTTTATTTTGGGGTCATGTGCTTCGCACTCCACGGTTCCAACCAACCACAACAGGACATGCCAGGACTCGCAACATCTCGCAACCGCCCTAACTTCACGATTTTGGGCAACCCCCCGATTTGAGTCTTGTATTGAATTCAGTCTGGTATGACACTTGTAGTGTGTTGGTGTGTTTTTAAACATTCATGCTCACTATAAATACCATATAGTTTGCTTCTGTGCGAAACCATTCATTCTGGAATCCTTCTTTCGGATCTCGAAACCAGGCTGGGCCACCGCTGGGGGACGGGCATTCTTTCAAGGGCCTTGATGACAGCCTCGTCTTGGGTTTTTCTGGCCTCAGCGGAGGAAGGCGGAAAGCATCCAGCCGCTTGGCCAGGAACTGCTGCTGAATCTGGCGAAGCCTGCTTGCTATGAAAGGAGAGGGTAAGGGTGAGGTGCAAGTGGACCTTTCCTGGTGAGGCTAAGCTAAACAGCTGCGCTAGTGGTCTTCTCCAACAAGTTACACAATAGAAGACCGGCCTGTTAGAATTGAAAGAACCGTTGATTTCCTTTGCACCATTCCAGACTTGAAAGCTCTGAGATCCTTACATAATCAATCGGACCTGAGCGATGGAACATGAAAGGATCTCTGGTTCTCAAGGCCAATCTGAGGCATAAAATGCAGATGCCCGAACCAAAGTCCACTCGCACAAGTTCTGTTGCATGAATCCAGCAAAAGGTATAAGGGACCCTCACAAATTTGATCGCAAAGGATCCACAAAAATCGCTACTAGGTTGGAGGCCATCGCTCTTAGGTTGGCTAGTAGGTTGGAGGCCATTGCTTGTAGGTTGGAAGCCAAATAGGAAGAACAACGTGATGGAACTCCAAGCACCCCCCACGCAGTCCATAGTCATCTTTCTGGTCAACATCAGTGGCCTCTGGCAGCCGGAGAAAAGAAAAAAAGGTGTGACATGTTGATGGGCAACTGCCTGCTTTTTGCCCAATTCAGAATAGGGTACCTTTAAGGCCCTCCAAGTCTCACAACCTGTATGATGTTGTCCATCAACAGCTCATTGCTCAAACTTGCTTGGATAGCATAGAACTCGTGGAGGAACTAACACAAAATAACAACTCTATCTCAGGAGTTGCTTTCCAACAATGATTATCGAAGACAATCATCGCCTTTCAGATTGCAGGCCCTTTAATGCGTAGTTCTGCGCACACACAGATTCCATCAAGTCAGGTGGTGGTTCCCAAAAAACACTGCCCAAACGTCAAACATCTTCAAACCCCTCAATCCTTCAATCCTTTTCCACCACTTTTTAAGTCCATGTCCGTTGTTTTCGCCGTCCACCGTGACCGCCCGGTGTTTCGCCCTTTTCGTCTTGGCCGGCGCACCAGGTTAGCCATCAGCTCCACGACCTGGCGACGAGAAACGGAGAACCTGGCGACGAGAAACGGTTAAACCACCTGCTATGGGCCCATGGGTTTCCTTCGAATGACCACTTCAAATAGAGTAGACATTGTACATAGAGTCTTCGAATTATCAACTTATCAACTTCAAATTCGGTGTTTTTGTTTTCACGCTTTTTTCCTTACCCCTCTCGCTTTTTTCCTTACCCCTCTTGTTTTCCTTGGCTGCCTCAGGGTCTGTCACACAGTCAGCCGCATAGTGCAGCAGACTGTAACCTGCCGCATTGCATGTCTTGGTCGACAAAACTGCAACACTGTTTCAGGGCTGGCCCCTCGTCTAAAGTTGAATGCAAGCTGCTTGCTCACCCCAGAGCGATATGCTTGACAACAGCTCAAAGACCCAAAAATATCAAAGTGCGCCAGATGCCACACCTAACTCCAGCACCCACCCGATACAGTGGAAGCTGGATCAATGTTATGCTGCTATGTTCAAGCTTCTGCTCCTTTGCTTGGTATTTGGCTCACAGCTCCCCCCTAACCAAACATCAGACTTTCAGGTTGGTTTGCGCATAAAGAACACTGGCCTTTGTTCCATTTGAAGCCATCCCAGCCAATTCCTCGGTCTATCTCAGTTCACAAGTTGTTTATTTTCTTGGAACAGAAATTCGGAAAGGGTGTTCCTGGCAGCCGCTCACAGAAATTGCCTAGGCATTACAACACCAAAACAAATGAAACACTAGCATTTTTCAAGCACCGTTGGCTTTAGCTAGGAGATGCTGTCATGATTTTGTCAAATTATATGAATCGCTAATTATCACCTGATTGCTGAATGAGACGTCTATGACAAGTGATCTTAACTATAGTACTTAGATATGCTAGAAAAGCTGCACAGTCTTTTTGGCACTACTTGCATTTAATAAGCAGTCAAGCAATGCCATGCAGGAAATTGTCGTCATGCCCTTTGGCAACATTCCAAACAATCACGCGACAAGTTGATACAAGTTGTGTCTTGTTTTTTTTCCTGACCAACCATGACGAACAACACCCGTTCGCCAACGCCAGTGACGCGACTCCCGAAACCACTCGCCCACTCAGGTCGGGGAACGGATCACTGGTTCTAGGCTTCGATCCTGAGGCAGCTGCTTATTGAAGCGGCCAGTTCTAGTTTGTGAGCCATCAAACAAGTAATAACCCGAAAAAAAACTGACATGACACACCATTGTACCTCTTGCCAAGCTTGGGCTTGTCATAGTCATAAGCCAGCTTAGGATAACCATTCCCGAAGCTGGAACTCCAATACTTGCCGATCTGACAACCACAGACTAATCACAAAGGCCCGACAAAGATAGTGAATTGTGTCGTACCTGTACTAGTACCATCCTATATCACTGCATGATGTACGAAACTGACAACTCGAGCTCCTATCAGCTCCTCATATTTACCGTTGAAGGATTGTGACTCCAATACCCGGTTCTTGTCTCTGTCTTTTATCTCTCGCTCTCTCTCTCTCTCTCTCGCTTTCCAACGAAGGCACAATGACATCATCATCCACGAAGACAAACTTTGCCATTTCTGGCATCCACAGCGACATGTTGCATCCATATTCATTGCCGCACAAACTTCCAGAATAATTCCAAACATTGAAATGGTCTGAAGCACTTCCCCTAGGTCGTTCTGTCCAATCATGGTTATAATAGACCCTTCTTAACTTCTTGATATATGTTTTGCCTCAGCCTCACTCTGGTAGGATCTGGTGGAGCGCAATGTACACACCGAACATGGGGGGCCTTTCTTTGTCGGTTTTCGTCAAATCGCAAATCGCCAGGCGCACTGATCATCGCAGCCCATTTTAAACGGAGCTGCGCCTAGCAGGTGCCAATATGTCACAAGTGTTTGCCAGTCACAGTTTGCTCTGTCGAACAGCTCCCGGGAGCGCGGTATGTCGAACAGCTTCCGGTGAAACGAGGGGCTACCTTGAAAGTGCGGGTGTGTCGACGAACATGCGGCCTTTAATTTCCGATTGAGCCCCTGAAGGTGCTCGATTCGACCTTGGATGACACAATCGAATCGGACGGTCGCAGATGACTTGACGGCAAACATGCCGTGCAAGCGCACTGAACTCTTGTTCCGATCTTTGATTCGCTATGATTGCATGTTTTGTGTGCGATACAAATTGTGAGTATATAGATGACACAATATGATCTCTATATATATCTCTGTCATTCTCTATCACACTTGCCATAACACGGCAGGCTGGTCCACTGTCGGTGCTCAATGTGTTCAGTGTTTCTACCAAAGTTGCATCTTGCTGCATCTACTCCTATGATCTCCTATGAAGCTTTTTGCAAACCGCATGTACCACACAAAATCCAAGCTGGCCATCTTCAGCCATTTTCTTTCTGGCCGCACCAATCACCAATCCCATTGTCGGACACCTCTGCAGCTCAGCCCCCCGACGTTCCAACTTCACCAGCTCTTCCGGGGCGGAGCTGCTGGTCCCAGCGACCGCTGCACTGGCCAGTTCGGTACCTCCAAGAGAAGGCACGGTGTAGCTGTGTAGCACGGCTTAAGCGGCTGGCTCACGAGTGGAAGTATAGATGAAAGGTTTTGTATGGTGTTACTATTCTGGTTTTATAACAATTTCAGGTGGTGACAATGGAGAACCCAAAATGACATTGGTGAAGGTGCCGTCTATAACACTCCTGCGCCGTTTGTAATGGATCCACAGGCTGTATAGGCAGCATCATGGCACGACGCAGTCAAGCCGCTCAGTCACAGGGTGACGAGAAGCCTAGTTAACTGTAAGCAGCATCATATGGCAGTATAGTTAATGTGGACGTTTGGTAAATAAATCCCCCCCTACCAGAATGGTTTACTTCTCCAAGTGAGTGGATTCTATGTCTACATTACACGTTTGAACGACTATGACCTACCCCAACCTCGTGTTTCATATAGATACATGTAGATATCGCATAAGCCACGAAGCCTCTGAAAAAACAGTGTGTCCTTTCTCCATTCTCCGTCCGGGTGTCGCCCCTGTGCCGCCACTCCTCTCTCGCCGTGACTCGACCTGAGCTTCCAGGCAAGCTCCGGTGTAGGCCACCAGAAGATTGTCATATCCTCAGCAATACACTGGCTAAAAGAAAAGTTTCCTTCTAGTTTTCTGAAGAGAGAGTTGTTTTCTAGAGGTTGGTTTATGAAGTTGTATGAACATCGTTGACAGGCAAAAACTTCCCCATAAACTTGTCTGCCTGTAGACTCTGGCAGACTCCGACTCTGGGAGTCTTGACCCTAGACCTCTGCCCTGCCACAGTTGAAGGAGATACAGTACGACATCGATGTGAAAGGACCCTGTCCATCCGTCCACACTGCTTTGAATGTTCACAGCCTGGGGCCTGGCGTTCAGTTCGAAAATCGGATTCCCTGTCAGTTCTGCAAGGTGAGACTCACGGTCCTCCACTGACTGTGCAGACTGACAAAATGAGTCTCTGAATCCTCTGGAAGAGCTTTGTGATTTGAAGGATGGACCTGAAAGTGTCCTGGACCTCTGTCATCATCTGAGCTCCTCACTCTCCTCCTGAAGCTTTGGATCGTCCTGGCTGTTCTGTGTTACAGAGTGCTAGTTTCCATAGAGTCAGCCGATTTGCACTCAATTAGAACATTGACTTGAGGGATTTCTTTAAGGGACTTGGATCGAAAGGCTGCACATCTTTACGCCTAAAGCCAACACCATGAAGACGCATCCAACACAAACAAATGCAGATACTCCCGTTGCACTAATGGTGTCTCTCTATGTGTGCGTGCGTGTGTCTATGTCCTCCTGCAAGCTTGCTAGCAGCAAGTTGGCAGCGCACGACTGGCAAGCGAAAGTGAATGATGGGATCAGGTTTGGTGCATTGATTGGTGTCATAGGTCCGCAAGGTTCAGTGTCATTGCGGCATACCCGTTAGACTTGTTACATCTGTACCAAATGCAGAAGAAGAAGAACACAGAGTGTTGGGAGGGCTATCAAGAAAACAAATAACTGTCATCAAGAAACAACTTAAATCATCCAAAACAAATTTAGACAATCAAAAAACAATTAAGCGATGCAGAGGAAGGAAGGAAGGAAGGAAGGAAGGAAGGAAGGGAGGGAGGGAAGGAAGGAAGGAAGGAGGGAAGGAAGGAAGGACGGAGGGAAGGAAGGAAGGAAGGAGGGAAGGAAGGAAGGAAGGAGGGAAGGAAGGAAGGAGGGAAGGAAGGAAGGAAGGAGGGAAGGAGCGACAGCTCTGTCTCTGCTAGGGATACCAAATTAGTCTAATCAGCTAGCAGTCAATATGAAACCTGCACCTATTCCAATGTATTTGGCCAGCTACGACACCTGTGTCTCTCTGCTAAAGATACGAAATTGCTGTACAGTAATTAGCTAGGAACTAAAAAGAAGCCTTCTCTATTCCAATGATTTTAAAAAATATAAAACAAATAAAAGTGCACCCTAGCTACTACCTACCAACTACCAGCTACACCCCTCCAGCTTTGTTTGTTTATGCGAGCATTTTCTATAGTGCTAGTACCTGCTTGCTGCCACAACGCCGACTACTACTACTACTACCACTACTACTACTATTACTACTGACTGCAACAACACTCATCCCAACAAATATCTAATCAAACAACATATTCATATTCTAATAATTTCTTTTTGATTCTGAAACATGTAAGTATGTTTCGCTAATGAGTGGCCTTTGGCCTGTGCAGGTCACGATATTTAAGATACTTTTTGTTTGATGATTTAAATTTGTTTTTGATAAGGTCGCTAATTCCCGAATGCGTAGCGAAGGGTTCTCGTTTAACTCTTGGGGGTCTGGGGGTAGAGCCTTGTTCGCGATCCGTTGTTTCTACGTCCGCAACCGTCCGCAACCGTCCGCAACCGTTCGCAACCCTTCGCGGTAGAGCGCTGAGGCGCTGCCATTGGGGGAAGCTTTTGCAAGTGCCTTTTCATGGATGTGTCACGTGTCAGTTTGCGACGTTATTCCATTGTGATTTGCATGAAAATGACATGTCGCGCAAGAAACGTGATGCATTTCGCTGCGCAGGCGCAGCGTTTTGTGAGATCCTCAGTTTGCTACGCAGTTCCATTGGGATTAGCGTTTGGAGAGTCGTGTTTTTGGGGTGTTGGATGTGGCCGTGCCATTGGGATTTGCGTTTCAGGGTGTGGCATCGAAGCTCTGTTTTGGTGACCAGTCTCAGCTGAAATGGCGATTTTGGTGGATGGGAGTGTGTTCAGAACGGGTCGAAAATCATTCCAAACGTGTGGTGTGGTGCAAATTTTGTTGAAGCTCACATGAGATGATATTGTCACTTTTCGTGGCAGGCGCAGTACTTTGTGCGGATTTTGAAGTGTGGAAGTGCGATTTTCGTGGCAGGTGCAGGGAATCGTGAGGTTGCGAGGTGTGACGGAGGTGACATTTCGTGGCAGGCGCAATACTTTGTGCGCGTTAGACGTGTGGATGCGAAAAGATTCGTGGCAGGCGCAGGGATTGTGAGGGTGTGAGTTGCGGTAGAGGTGAATGTCGCTGTCACAGTGGGATTGGCGTGTGAGCGGGCATTGTTTGGAGGGGCTGGACTCGCGAAACTGCTTGGCAGGGCTGCGTGATGTGTGTGCTCCGATGGGTGTTTCCGCTTGACTTTTGGAGGAAGTCTCGTACGAAATGCTCGTTTTGCAGGCTTTGACATGTGAGTTTTAGAGGAAGTCTCGTACGAAACGCTCGTTTTGGAGACTTGGCACGTGACTTTTGGAGGAAGTCTCGTACGAAACGCTCGTTTTGGAGACTTGACATGTGACTTTTGGAGGAAGTCTCGTACGAAACGCTCGTTTTGGAGACTTGACGTGTGACTTTTTGGAGGAAGTCTCGTACGAAGAGTGCCCTACAAGAGTGTCCCACAAGAGTGTCCTACAAGAGTGTCCCACCAGAGTGTCCCACAAGAGTGTCCTACAAGAGTGTCCCACAAGAGTTTCCTACAAGAGTCTGCCACAAGAGTGTCCCACAAGAGTGCCCTACAAGAGTGTCCCACAACAGTGTCCCACAAGAGTGTCCCACAAGAGTGTCCTACAAGAGTTTGCTACAAGAGTTTGCTACAAGAGTGTCCCACAATAGTGTCCCGTATGAGTGTCCCACAAGAGTGTCCCACAAGAGTGTCCCGCAACAGTGTCCCACAAGAGTGTCTCACAAGAGTGTCCCTTAAGAGTGTCCCACAAGAGTGTCCCACAACAGTGTCCCACAAGAGTGTCCTACAAGAGTGTCCCACAAGAGCGTCCTACAGGAGTGTCCCACAAGAGTGTCCTACAAGAGTGTCCCACAAGAGCGTCCTACAAGAATATCCGACAAGAGTTTCCTACAAGAGTGTCCCGCAAGAGTGTCCCACAAGAGTGTCCCACAAGAGTGTCTTACAAGAGTGTCCCACAAGAGTGTCCCATATGAGTGTCCCACAAGAGTGTCCCACAAGAGTGTCTCACAAGTGTGTCCAACAAGAGTGTCCTACAAGAGCGTGCTACAAGAGTGTCCCGTAAGAGTGTCCCACAAGAGTGTCCTACAAGAGTGTCCCACAAGAGCGTCCTACAAGAGTGTCCCGTGAGAGCGTCCCACAAGAGTGTCCCACAAGAGTGTCCCGCAACAGTGTCCCACAAGAGTGTCTCACAAGAGTGTCCAACAAGAGTGTCCCACAAGAGTGTCCTTTTAGAGTGTCCCACAAGAGTTTCCTACAAGAGTGTCCCACAAGAGTGTCCTACAAGAGTGTCCCACAAGAGTGTCCTACAAGAGTGTCCTTTTAGAGTGTCCCACAAGAGTTTCCTACGGGAGTGTCCCGCAAGAGTGTCCCACAAGAGTGTCCCACAAGAGTGTCCTACAAGCGTGTCCCGTATGAGTGTCCCACAAGAGTGTCCCACAAGAGTGTCTCACAAATGTGTCCCACAAGAGTGTCCTACAAGAGTGTGCTACAAGAGTGTCCCACAAGAGTGTCCCACAAGAGTGTCCTACAAGAGTGTCCCACAAGAGTGTCCTACAAGAGTGTCACGTAAGAGTGTCCCACAAGAGTGTCCCACAAGAGTGTCCCGCAACAGTGTCCCACAAGAGTGTCTCACAAGAGTGCCCCTTAAGAGTGTCCCACAAGAGTGTCCTATAAGAGTGTCCCACAAGAGTGTCCTACAAGAGTGTCCCGCAAGAGTTTCCTACAAGAGTGTCCCACAAGAGTGTCCCACAAGAGTGTCCCACAAGGGTGTCCCACAAGAGTGTCCTACAAGAGTGTCTCACAAGTGTGTCCCACAAGAGTGTCCTACAAGAGCGTGCTACAAGAGTGTCCCGTAAGAGTGTCCCACAAGAGTGTCCTACAAGAGTGTCCCACAAGAGCGTCCCTTAAGAGTGTCCCACAAGAGTGTCCCACAACAGTGTCCCACAAGAATGTCCTACAAGAATATCCGACAAGAGTTTCCTACAAGAGT